GAGAACCTTTCTTCCCCATCGGTTGTCGGTTCTTCGAGCTATATGGCCGGCCCATTGCCACTTCAGCTTACTAATCCGTTGGGCTATGTCGGTCACTCTGGTTCTACTGCGGATATCCTCATTTCTGAGTTTATCACGCAGAGAAACTCCGAGGATAGCCCTCTCCATAGCTCGCTGAGCGACCTTGAGCTTCCTCATCCGGCCAGCAGTGAAGGACCACGTCTCAGTTCCTTATGTCATCACTGGCAACACGCACTGGGTGTACAGTCTCGTTTTCAAGTTTTGAGGTATACCTGACGAGAAGATGTGCCGTAATTTCCCGAACGCTGCCCAACCGAGTTGAATCCGTCGATTGACCTCTCGGTCGAAGTTGGACTTACCTAGTCGGACTATTTGTCCCAGGTAAACATCCTCGTCAACAACTTCGAGCTTAGTGTTCCCAACAACTACCGGCATAAGTGTGACATAGACATTAAACATGATCTTTGTTTTGTCCATGTTCATCTTAAGACCTATCCGTTGGGAAACACTATTGAGGTCATTGAGCATAGTGCTTAGGTCCTCCAGCAATTCTGCCATAAGGACTATATCGTCGGCAAATCGAAGGTGAGTGATATACTCGCCATTGATGTTGATACCGTATCCTTTCCAGTCCAGAAGCTTAAAAACATCTTACAATGCAGCGGTAAAGAGTTTCGGGGATATGACAGGGTGACCCTGTCTTACACCTCTCTGCAATTGGATAGGTTTCGTACTCTGGTTCTGTACTCGGATAGCCATCGTAGCCCTACTGTACAAGCACTTCAACACTTCGATATACCGACAGTCAACATGGCATCGCTGAAGGGACTGCAGCACCGCCCAAATTTCGACGGAATCAAAGGCTTTCTCCACATACGCCAGACATAGTAGCAAATTGTACTCCTCGGACTTCTGTACAATTTGCCGAAGGGTATGTATGTGGTCTATGGTGCTAAAGCCTTTTCGGAAACGCCTCAGGTGTAGTGCCACCATGGAGGACGGAGTTAAAGAGCTTCTGAAGGAATTCAAGTACCGGTTTTCCACCAGCTTTCAGAAGCTCCGCTGTAATTCTATCCTCGCCTGGGGCCTTGCCGTTTTTAAGGTGCTGGAGAGCCATTCTAATCTCGCTCAGACTGACGTCCGGGATATCATCGGAATAATGTCGGATAAGACTCGCTCTTGGATCGTTACTCACACTTACGTAGAACCTCCCAATCTCACTCAAAATCTCAGGTGCCCCGGAAACGATGCTGCCACATTCGGTCTTCAGCTTTGACAGTTGGCTCTTTCTGGCAGACAGATCTCTGGCAAAGACTTTGAAGCCTTGGTTCCGCTCGATTGCTTCTTCAATACGAGCTGTATTGAAGCTGCGTAAGTCTCGCCGCATGCATTTGGAGATCTGTCTGTTCAGTTGCCTGTATGCTGTCAAATCTGTTGAAGAATGTAGCTTCATTTCCCATCTAACAGCCATGAGATTAAGAGTGTGATCGGAGAGTTTTTGTGTTCTTTTGCGGCGGGTCTTGCAAAACTTAGCTCCAACCGCATGGACAGTTTCCACGAGCTTGTCATTCAAATCGTCCACTTCATTGCAGTCTTCTAGGCACTGAAAACGGTTTTGTAACTCGAGCTGAAAGGTTTCGGGACTTTGGATTAGAGCACGAGGGGGACGGAGCGTTGACTGCATTAGACGAGACCTCTCCAACTTAACGTTTAGGTTCAGTGTGCCTCTAACCATTCGGTGATCGCTGCCGGTTTTCACCCTCGCGATCACTGAGACATCACTGAACAGTTGTCGTCTGGTCGTCATAATGAAGTCAATTTCATTTTTTGTCGAACCGTCGGGGCTCGACCAGGTCCACTTCCTGTGGGGCCGCTTCTGGAAGAAAGAGTTCATCATAAAGAGTCCCTCTTTCTCCATGAAGTCGGCCAGCTGCTGGCCCCTTGGGTTCCGTTGCCCTATTCCAAATTTCCCCACTTTCAGCTCACCGTTCTCTCTTGTGCCTAGTTTTGCATTAAAGTCTCCCATTAACACCGTATATTGGGTTTTGGAGGAATGCATGGCTCTAGAGATATCCTCATACATTTCCTCCACCTCCTCATCGGGGTGTGCCGAGGTTGGTGCGTAAACCTGTATGACCTTCAGCGAATACCGTTTGGTGATTCTGAGTATAAGGTACGCAACCCTCGTCGACACACTCTCAATCTTTACAACGTTGTTAACGAGAGACTTGTGGACGATAAATCCGACACCTCCTTGGGACGGATGGTCCCGGTAATAGAGCAAGTTGCCGAATTCGAGGATTACCGTGTCCTCTCGCTCTCTTCGGACTTCGGATAATCCTATAATATGCCAGCGTAACTTGTCTATCTGTTCTTCCAGCTCCACAATCTTCTCGTCAGTCCTCAGGGTGCGTGCGTTGTATGTTGCCAGGTCGAGTCGTCGTAGGTGGCAACCGAACCTCCACCGGAGATTCTTAGCACCCCCTGCCCCGCCGTTACCATAGTCGCTACCGTAGCCAGGAATAGCGGGGCCGCCGGGGACTGGGGGCCGTCTCTTCGTAACTTTTATCATGGGGGGGTATATTGCCATAGTTGCCACGCTTGGAGAGCGGGTTGGCAACCGCAGTTTTTTATTGTATTTTTGCAGCATCTTCCTGGTAACGACCAGGAAGATGCTGCTGCCCATCTCCTGCCTGTTTCCCTTTGTCGCCTTTTACGACACCCACGGGAAGATATGGGGTAGTGGATATTCTTAACCACCACTACACGGCTCTCTTACATAAGACAAACAAAAAGATCTATAAAACCCGCGTTAAAGAACATATAGCTGATGTGAAGCACCGACTTATCGGGAAGTCTGCAGTTTATGAACATGTTCAAGATCGTCCCCGCCATTACATTAGATTTGATAGACCACAAATCTTCGCAAAAGAACACCGATTCCTACCAAGGATGATTCGCGAAGATATTGAAATTAAAAAACATCCTAATTTCAATAGAGAAGATGGATTCTATAATTAATAAAATTAAATCCAAACCTAAGTATACCACTGCTAGACTTTAAGATACTGTAAGCTCATTTTGCGTAAATCGAAGCAAAAATTAATATAAAAAAACTGAAGGTAGCCGGGCTAACTATGACATCGGGACGTCATACACCTCAGTCCCCCCGTGACCATGGGTGCTGTAAAGCACCCGAAATGTCGGGAATTAAAAAAGTTAAAATTAAACGCTATATAATCCGTAAAAATTAGTTTCATTTAACGAAATTTAACGAACACTTCATAAACCAGTGTTAAAATTAAATACGAGTAGTAATACTTGTATGTAAGGTAGAGTTCAATGAAATTCAGTATCTGAATCTCTATAATCAGAGTTTTATGATGTTTAGGTAAATCTAGATACGTTAGATAAAACTAATAAGATGAGGCCAAGTCAGTATACCGGATAGTGGCGGTGTAAGAATATCCACTACCCCATATCCCGACGGTGTCGTGAGAGGCGACAAAGGGAAACAAATCAGGAGAGGAGCAGCAGCGTCTTTATAATAACGACTGAAATTGCTTGCTTGTACCGCAGTGAACTGTAATAGTAAGTCTGTAGGTATAATGAAGTAACATCCTTTACTCTTAGTTGCCCAAAGATATCGATCGGTAGGGTAGAATTTGGTCTGAAGAACATAATCACTATGTAATAAGAATTTTCTTTGTGTTCATTTTGTTTTTTTTATATAGGACAGGGAGACAAACGAGCACACAGTCCACCTGATGGTAAGTGGTTGCTCTGACCCACAGACATCTATATTTATCCTTAATAAAGAATCAAAATGCAGATGCGTCGTCACCCGTGAGGATTAAAATGGAATGCGTCTTTTCCAGTAAAATGGGTCTCCGGTTCTCTACACTCACCATACGAAACACAGTAGTCTCAAGTTGCCATTTCACGCTGGTATTATGTGAGAGCGTGGTCCTTCCCCGGTCGAGCCGATCCATTCGTGCTACAACTATACTACTAATATAGCTGCAGCATGGCTCTACCACATATAAATTGATAAGTTCTTACTCCCTATATCATACCATAAATTTATAAATACGACATTATCTTATGTCGATAAGCATTGCACGGTCTTCTAAAATAACTACATTTACAAATTGCCACTGTAGCGGGTCCCGCGTGCCGCTGCTAATCTTAGCTTGAACGTAGGGCGTGAGTACAGGTTAGCAGATGTAGGCGGATCGGATCCAATTACGGCTTCAGTGAATTAATTTAATGCAATAGGTACTTCGGAGTCGATCTCGTCTTGACATATCTAGATGATGTCCAGATCTTCCGATGACTGTGCACATTAAAGATGGATTGTTTTACAGTTTTCACAAACAAAAACACTTTCGCTAATATTTCCATAGTGCACTCTCTCTTCTGCTAGTTTATCTGCTAGTTTCATGTTTAAGTCACTTTTCATCATTTCTCCGTCTAAACGGAACATGTTTTGCTTCCGCGGTCGTGTAACGTGTTTGTTATTGTACGTAATGAAAGGTAAAAGGAAAATTATAAAAATAGAAAAAAAAATCAAAAAGAAAATAAAATTCATAGACGTAAAAGTGAAATATTTTGAAGGAATGCGTGGCTGTTGCTTTGGATTTAAATTAAACGGTGATGCATACCTTGTTGTACGTCCGTACGCAAAAACTAGAACGGAGGCTGTATAATCGGAGGCTGAGCACGCGTTTTTGATGCGAGCAACGGAGAAAAGCCGGCAGTCGCACGGCAAACGCTGCGGCACTTAGACGAGCCCACATGCCACGCGGCGCTCATACCACCACCGTAATAATTCTCGAAATAGTTTACGATAACTTAGTCGATAATCATTTGGTGTACCGTGAATAAAGTGAAAATCTGGACTAATGTGATCAATGTATGTGATTAATATGACCGGTTGATCGAGACTCTAACCGCTTGTGAAAAACTAAACTTTCCAAATGAAGATGACTGTAAATCGTATAAGGGTAGTGGTGCTCGGAAGCCCGCGGAGTGGAAAATCGGGTTAGTATCCAGTGATAAAGATTTATCGCCATTTTGTATAGTGTAAATATATTTAGTCTCTTTCTAGAAATGTAGACAATTTCTATAAAATTTTGATATTAATGAAATTATTTATTACATAATCGACCTATTTTTTACATGTTTACTAGCTGACCCGACAAACGTTGTTTTGCCATATACATTATTTCTACGAAACATTTTTTAGTTTTAAAAATCGCGATTAAAAAACAGGGATTGATCGTACGAGTAGAAGGGTGAAAATTTAAAGTTTTATGTATTTTTCAATGCTAAATTTAAAAACAAATTGTCAAAAAAAATAAAAAAAAATATTTAGGGGTGGGTCACCCTTATCATTTAGGGGTTTGAAAACTAGATTAGGCCGATTCTCAGACGTACCCGATATGCACAAAATTTCATACAAATCGGTTCAGCCGTTTCGGAGGAGTTTGGTAACAAACACCGCGACACGAGAATTTTATATATTAGATTATAAAAGTCACTTTATTATTAAAGCTACAATAATTGAAATAAATACCTACTTATTTATTTGATGAGAAATAATTTTTTTAGTTTTTGGCGGACGATACTATATTTAGGAAAATACTTTAATCATGTACCTAGATGTGATAACAAAAACTGTGTCAGACTTTTGGAATGAGACTACAAAGATAAGACCACACATAATCTGTCCAAAATATCTGCTTCACCACTCCATTTGCTTATTAAAAGAGAAAGATTTAAAACCGTTTGAGTTAAATGTTATTATTAAATGTAATTTGAAAATAAAAAATTGATTAAGGAATTCATAATCACTATCATAATTATTAAGCCCTTCAGAAGTCCATAGCTAAATATAGGGCTCCCCCATGGCCACAAAACACGGTCCTGATCCTCAACCACTTGCGTCCTTCGACTTCCTGCTTATCTTACCATAAATAGAGAGCTTGAGTTCATAGACTTAGAAATTGCGGGTTCATAATAGTTTTGTCTTTATATAACTTTCCTTTAAAAATATGAGCAGTTTGACGAGCTTTTTAAGTAAAAATAAATTGTGACTCAACGAGGTCAAGGCCTGATGTAATTTCATGGTAAAGAGGTTGCGAACTAAAATTATATGGTGAAGTTTATTATGATTTTATTATTATCATCACTTACACTTTAGAGGTTTGTTGTTACTTATTACATTCTTTGTTACTTATTCACTTTTTTGGTAATTGTTACTGGTTATTACATATAAATTGTTTTCATTTAATAACAAATCATAAGAATGAGAGATTCATTTGTGTCTGAGGATAACTTTAGATACACTAAGTAAATATTTATGTTCACTCGCCTTAAATTCCTATCAGGTGCATTTTTTTTTAGTGTATAAGTACAAAGATATCGCATAAAATTCATTAACACTGATTTAAATTAAAAACTATAATATCGTACCTACTTTGCGTTTTTATAATTGCCTATTTGTCGTACTGCGTTATTGTTAGTATACTTTGTGATCAGAGTTTCGACTTGAGATCGAGATTTTAGTGTTTTAGACATATCATGGAAGTTATTGTTGGGATAAATATCTCTATCTCTTCTTTTCATATCTTGAATACTGAATTAGATTTTCTGAGTTTTTATATATTATATTCTATAGAAATATGTTTTTTTATTTAAGTCAAAGTTGTTGTTGTTGTTATATTATATTACATAATATTACATATTTTTATCTCTACAAATTGTAACCTCATATTTTTTATAACAAATTCCTACGTTACCTTATAAACAAGTGCGGATAATGACCGTTTTGCGTGTTTTGTCTACGATATAATTAGTTAGCAGCTTGCCAACTCATAATTCATGGCTTGTTTGATTGTTTAAAGGTGTATGAACTTCGAATATTAAATATAACTGATTAAATGACTGAATGAACTGAATATTATAACATATTAAACAAGAGGTTTATTATAAAAACTAATATAGAAATAGAAACAAACTTAACACAAAGTTTGTTTTTATTTCTAGTTATTACATTAGGTACTGGTATTTGTAAATATAATAATGATAAATTATTATAGTAAATGCTTTCACGTGGAGGCGAAAAAGTAGTATTTGCTCCATTTCTTCATATGGGTATCATAGTAAGCTATTTCGTATATTGTCAGACTGGAATAATGTTCTGCTATCGCTAACTTAACGTGCCTTTAGCCTGAGTTGGTGGTCAGAGTAGTTTATATCGTCGTTGTCAAACTAAAATCTGCTAATCTGCTATGTGCACTTTTTTGAGATTTTAACATTTTGACTAGGAATCGTTATCCACCAATCAACTACTGTACAGCGAACCATGACATATTTTTAAAGCATGCTATGTGCAGCAGCTAGAATATTGACAATTAATACCTGCTATGTGACAAACATGCACATAGCATAATATACTTGAAGTGGATATACCGTTGTCTGTCGGAAAGCACTAGACTTTTTGAATATTATCCTAAGCCGCCCCTTACGATACCCGTAGGATAAGATCGGGTACTGGATTCTCCGCTCCTCCACTACACGGCACATACTTGCATTTGTTTTTGGAAAATGGTTCTAACGATTCGCGAGTTTGATTGCGGTTGGTTCAATTTTTTTTTATTACGTGGTAGAGCCATGCTGCAACTATATTAGTAGTATAGTTGTAGCACGAATGGGTCGGCTCGACCGGGGAAGTACCACGCTTTCAGAGAAAACCAGCGTAAAATAGCAGCTTAACGCTGCTGTGTTTCGTATGGTGAGTGTAGAGAACCGGAGACCCCTTTTACTGGCAAAGAGGCATTCCATCTTAGTCCTCACGGGTGACAACGCATCTGCATCTTGAATCTTTATTGAGGATAGATGTAGATGTCTATGGGTCACAGTAACCACTTACCATCAGGTGGACTGTGTGCTCGTTTGTCACCCTATCCTATTAAAAAAAAATTTACGTCAAAGAATTAATTTAGTCATATCACATCTTTGAGGAAACCTTTACTCATCAGACAATGTAGTGATCACCACCATAGGCTGTATTTCACATTTAGTATTGATATCAGTAACGGGGATTGGCGTCTAGTAATTCGATTGTCAATTTCTAGTTCAAGTTATTGTGTAGTTCTTTTTTGTTTTAAAAACAACTAACTGAAAAACGTGACATTAGTGTACATTTAAACATAACTTTTGTCTTTAGCAAGTTAATACCTTTGATTGTCATTCATGTGTTAGTAAAACAACACCAAGTCAAAGAAAATTTTCGAGACAGACAAATATTTATCTTTTGGCGACACCCACGCGACGCGAAGAAGATTAACAAATTACGAAACCTGTATAACGGTATGCGAGATCGTTGACAATCGAATGTTCCGTATCACTTTTACCGATACCGCGTAACTATTACAATTTGCAGAATTATCTACGTTGCCGTGTGTAGAGCAACGACCTCGACGGCTGCCGTGTTAATGCGTGGTCGTTTAAGAGTTACACAACGTGGACCGTTGGCGCCAGCCGTTGGAGCCGTCGGGAAATCGCTTCGCTGACCCACCGGCCGACTCGGTCGACGACTGGTCGTAATTGCACCGCCCTGATTGTCGGTGGGCTGACGTTGACGCCCGACACGTCGCATACGTTTGCAATTCATTACGGGCGAGCATAGATCGGACACGCAAAATTGTTTTCAATGCAGACCCTGTCCGGCGTATCAAGTGGGAGTGGTGCACGTCTATCGCGGATCTCTGGCCGAGTAACATCGTTAAGGCATTTAGCATCGTCCCGTGCGTTTAAATCGCTATTGTAACGCAAAGTGCACTGCATTCCATTATCAAGTAAAGTGTATTTATTAAGATGCTTGAAACTGTAAGCATTAACCACTGAGAAAAATGTATCTGAGCGTATAACTTTTAGGTCATATTACAGCCTCGTTTACGAAATATGATACGCATCTTATGTACCCTGTGGTTATTCACTGAACATAAATTTTATTATAAATGGTAACACTTACGGTAATAATTCACTGTATATTAAATACGTTGGTACAACAGCCTCATTGACAAATGACATTCCATTTAAAAGAAAAAACGTGCGATATTTTAAAAGCTTAAAAAACTGGCCAACTTTCTTATGTTAAACATGCTTGTAATGTAGGTACAAAATGATATATTTCTACATATTATCTTATTAGTATTTATGAGATAGTTTTAGAAACTAGATCGTACCTCCTAGATGGTAAGGAGGACATTAAGTATAATAACATGTTTTTCTTATGTAAATTTTATGTTTCTATCGACTATAAAATTACTATTATATTTTAAGTGTATATCATGAATAAATCCTATGGAGTTAATTTTAAATCTTATTCATTTGAATAATTGAAATTTGTACTGTACTTGACAAAATCAAAGAGCTTAAAGAACGTATTATGTGGAATTTTGTTACTGTGATGCCACTTGCCGACGCAATTTTTTTTATTCGACTGGTGATCGATTAATGCGGCAATCTATTAATTACCCCTAGATTCCTCTCCATATAACGTCCATTGTTTCTCGTTATGGTGTACCATCCATCAACCCACGTGATGCCATGTTGTTCTACCATAGTAATTTGTCTTATATGCTTCGATGCCTGTTACTATTTTTATTTTTAGGGTTCCACCGTCATACAAGAAACCGTTATAATTTTGATCCGTCTGCTTGTTGTACTGTGTCACACATCATTCATCTAGTATCATAACTACATTAGTTTAAACTGAATCATACAAATATTTCGATGTCTTTTTTTATATAGGGATCAGTGTTAAGATAAGATTTATTTAAAAATACATTATTTTTATGAATGTATGCATTTATATTTTTATCCATTAGTAAATATTTTTTTTACACTTTCCATCTGAAAAAGAGGTCATTAGTTAGGTCTTACAAAACTTGATAAGCTCTAATTCTAAGTCTAATTGCTAAAAGTGGTCTTTGGAACCTCATATTAAAGTCACAACTGAATTTGAGCCTCCC